GAGTTCTTTCTCTCCATGCACATGCTCTGAGTATGCAACAGGAAGGTAGCTGTCTGCAAATCAAGGAGAGAACTCTCACTAGACATTGACCCTGCTGGTACCTTAATATTGGACTTTCCACTTTCCAGAACTGTGAGAAAATAAATTTTGGTTGTTAATCCACCCAGATTATGGTATAGTGTTATGGCAGCCCAAACAGACTAGTATGTAGAACAATAGAATTTTAGTTAAAGGAACTACACAGAATCATTCTTGTTAAGTACTCTTCCATGTCCATGAGCCAATGCGATACAATAAAAGACAAACAGAACTGGTGGGAGAAGGCTCTAAGTCCAAGTCTTCACTATCCTCTCACTAGTTATGTGACCGTATATGCTCCCTAAACCAATGTTCTCATCTGAAAAGCTAAGATAACAACAGATTTCTTTCCAGGTTAACATAGGATTAAATGAGATGATGTTTATCCATTTATTGGATCATTCATTTATTCATCTAACAAATATCTATTAGTAAGCATGAGAAAATTCACACATATGAGTTATTCTTCAATTTACCTATCACGTCTTTGGGTTAAATCTTTGTCTTTGCTTCCTCAGTGAAACAAAATTTTATGCGATGACAAAAAATTCTGTATGGAAAATATATAATCACAAATACAGGCAATATTGTATCATAGATGTTCCTTGACTTAAGATGGGGTTATATCCCAAAAACCATTGTAAGTTGAAAATATTATAAGTCAAAATGAATATAATACTCCTGACTTACCAGACATGATAGCTAGCCCAATCTGCCTTAAACATACTCAGAACATTTGCTTACAGATGGGCAAAATTATCTAAAAAAAAGCTTATTTTATAATAAAGCGTTGAATATTTCATGTACTTTATTTAATACAGCATATCATAGAGTACAGCATTGGTTGTTCACCCTCATAATCGTATGGCCGACTGGGAGCTGTGGCTTACTGCCACTGCCCAGCACCACAAGAGAGTATTATATGCATATTGCTAGCCTGAGAAAAGATCAAAAGTCAAAATTTGAAGTACAGTTTCTAAT